GTTTAAAAGTTTTTAACAGAACTTCTCAGTTTAAAATTGAATGTATTTTTACGTTCATTTTCAACAAGTGCCAGCAAAATGGTTGTGTAACCCTCTTCACAAATTATCACAGCACTTAAGGGCACATTTTTCTGGCCCTGATCTCTGATCTGTGTATTGATAAGTTAAACATATTTGATTCCTCTGTCCAGCCTCTGTAGACCCACTTATGTGGTCCAGAAAAGAGGAGAGCAATACATGGTTGTTGGTGGAAAGACAATATGTGAAGTATTAATTGCTACTCACCTACCTCTACTGACTTTTAGTCCCCTGACTCTGCCTGCTTCATTATGTCAGAAGACATGCGAGGCTGACATTCCCCATGGAGGGGGGTCAGGGAGTACCTAGGACAGTGGAGGTTGTCAAGAGGACAGAGAAAGACATGTCAAATTCCTGATTTTTAAAGTTAAAAGTCTCAAATCATCTTTCCATATTTTTCCTTGCTGTCCCCCCACCCTCACTAGATAAAGATGCTCCCAACTGAAAAGATGGAAGAAAGTTGGAAACTAATAAAGAGAGATAGACACTGGTTTTAGGGCTGAGTCCCCATTTTGGGCCAAGTCCCAAGCAATGAGGCAAGTAATGGTCAAAGAGACTATAAGACTCCCAGATAAGTGCAGGGTAGTGGGAACCAGTGCTGTAGAAGACATTCCTCAATGTACTAATATTTGGGCCCCACTCTTCCTCTGGGCATATGGGGCATTATGTTTGCCCTCTCCCTTGAAGATAGGCATGACCTTGTGACTTGCTTTGGCCAATAAATTGTTGATGGAAGTGACATGTGTCATGTCTGTGTTGAAGCGTCTAATTAGTGGTGCTAGACTTTCCAGCATGCTTCTTCTTTTGCTAGTCGGGAAGGCTGAGCCAACACATGAAAGACAAATGTCATGGAGAGCATTATGGACTTGTAATGGATTTTATATGAGTCAGGAATGAAATTCTGATGATCTTTTGGGTGTCGTTTTTACTACAGCATAAGCTACCCTATTCTGAGTAAGATAAGTATTCTGTTTTTCATCTGGATGGCTGGAAGGGAGAGAAATCACAAGGCTTCTCATGCTATTCTGCATGGGGGCAATGGAGTAGAGAAGACTGTGTGGGGTGTCAGTGATAGAGAGGGTGTGATGACAGATACTAATTGTCCCATTGCTCTGGGGAGATGAGGGGTAGCAACTGAACCTTCCTCATATCCTGAATAAGGATGCATATTTTAGCAGAGAGAGAAATCTCAATATCCAAAGGGATCTCAAGGTCATGACAAGGGGATGCAACTATAAGTGATAGCATGGGCCATTCAATCTGAGACCAGATGAGTGGAAGCCCGTTTGGAGGGTGGCAACAGCAAGAACCAGATATTATGGTTATGTATATCAGTGGATGTCAACTCTGGCCAACCATAGAGACCCTTCCTCATAGATAACACATCATTGTGTAAATATTTGAGTTAGAATCAACCCAGAGAGAAGAGAAAAAGGGGAAAATCCATAATTTGATTGAGTATAACACTGAAATAACTAAGAAATTACTGAAGTGGTTGAGGTTACTTAGAAATGACCAGATTCAATTTGCTATCAGGAAGCATGAAGGGCTTGCAATAGAAATTGCTTCAGCTATAAAGAAAAAGCTCTATAATTGCAGATCTGAGCTTGTGGCTATGAAAATCATGCACACCTCATATTTTTGTAAGGGGACTGAACTGAACAGAATTTTCAAAGAATGGGATTTAATGATTTTACAGAAAAACACAAAGCCATGCTATTTCACAACTTGGTTGTTGTTGTTGTTGCTAAGTATTGTAGTCCCTGACTCAATTAGAACCCTGCTGGGCCTCTTGAGAACCTGGACATGACCATTACCATTGGACATTGGGCTGTACCCACCCAGCTGCCCCTATGTGGTCAGCCTCTGTGGCTCAGGCACTTAGCCCCTGGCTTCCTGTGGTGGGTGAGTTTCTAGCTAGGTGCTGGCTGCCTCAGGGTTAGAACCACGGGATCAGGCCACTTTGCCAAATGATCAACCTGCCTAGTGACTCTTGGTGTTCAGTGACCCATAACACTGGGCACTAATGTTGGATGCGTCAGATTCTTTTGTTGGGTAGCACTTCCTTGTTGATGTAGAGACCTTGCAAAAAAAAGTATTTAAAATTTACGCATGAGATTAAGATACGCACAAAGGTAGAGAACAATGCCACCATTCATATCATGTTACACATTTGATAAGTACTCATTAGAAAAATAAAATTAAGTTGCAACTGCCCTTAGATTAACTGGTTAAAATAATCCGCATACCAAGAATGTGGCAAAAAAGAAAAATAGCAGGCCTGGAGTGATGTAAAAATCTCAAAAAGAGTTGAAAAACGTGAGCAAACTGTTTTGTAAGCATATTAATATAGGGCCTTCATTAAATCTATTTGACAACTTCATGAGGAAGATTTATGCATACTGGCAGATGAGAAAACTGAGATGCAGAGATTAAGTTCTTCAATATTATGTAACCAGTGAAATAATAGAGCTGTTTTTTGTTTTGTTTTGAACGATCAAATTTAAGCTCTTTCTCCTTTAGCATCTTTCTGTATAGACTCCATACCACCCAGCCTGGTGGTTTGGACTCCTTCCTCATTCTTATTGGTGCTCTGATAGGTGAGATTGCGTTAGATAGACCTAGGCGAATATTATCAAAGTTTTCAGTTACTTTTTATTTGATGGACTGTGGGGTGGGGAGTCAGCTTTGGATGCTGAATTAGGGGGAAAATCCCCACTTAGGTTTGCTTAAATCAGTGGTTCTCCACCTTGGCCGTGCATTGGAATCACCTGGGAAGCTTTTAAACCCTACTGATACCTGAGACCCACTTCAGTCCAGTTAAATTAGAATCCTTGGGAGTGGAGCCTCAGTATTTAAAAAAGATTCCAGGTGATTCTACTGTGTAGCCAGGGCTTGAGAACCACTGGCTTAAGTTAACATTTCCTCACATTGAAAATCAGATTCTAACAGGAGAAAGCAATTAGCACAGGTGCTAAGTCAACGCTCTCAGTAACCTGTAATATCAAAACAAATAATCATCAGTAGGAGGTAAAGAAAAGATCTCTAATCAGTCGTTAAGAAGGACCACTGGGATCCGTACCTCAGGATGTTATTCCGGAACTTGAGAAATGAATGAGCTCTCAGTTTCAGTCTTGGCATTGAAATTTTATTATTTCAGATTTTAAAAATGAGAACAGGGAAAATAAATGAGGTAACTCTGTGGGGACTGATGCTTTGGAATTTTCCCGTGTTTTCATCTATGTGAAGCAAAGCATTTGATCAGGAATGGGATGTCTGCATTTCAGTAGAACTGCAATCAGAGAGGAAGCCTCAGGTACCAGTCACGTGCTCAGTGCTGGGGAACACAATGAAGCCAGTTCCTGCCTGAGAGGAATTTACACTCGATCTGGAAAGACCGGATATATGTCAGGAGTGACCGTAAAGTAATGTGACTGAACCCACAAAATACATTTAAAACTTAACTCCTCATTTTAAATCATATCTTGTGGTTCAAAGGGTGTTAAAATTCATCATGATAGGACATCCTAAATGCTAAATGAGTGTTACACACCTCAAATCATTGCATATAATTGTGAAAAAAAATTCGCTCAACCATCATCTCCTCTCTCTTTCCCTTACCTGTGCCTTCAGGGAATACCAAGTCATGTCAAGTTTACCTTTTCAAGATTACTAAATTCATCCTCTTCGTCTTCAGGGTCTTCAGTTTAGGCATTTCTTCCCTGGACCATAGGAATAATTTTGAACTTGCTTCTAGCTTCTTTGAATTCCAGTCACTCTCAGGCTAAAGAAGCCACAGGATGGCTCCCCATTGTCTGCAGGAAAAGGTTTGAGATCTAAAGTGTGGCGTGCAGCCTCTCTACTCCAAGACTCTCAAACTAGCCACATTTGCCTCATCTGGCAGCTTGTTAGACGTGCAGAATCTCAGAGGCTCTGCTTCATACCTATTGCAGCAGAACCGGCATTTTAACCGGCATTTACACACTCGATTATCGGTGTGTACAGGAAAGTGTGGGAAGCACTTGTGTGTCATAGGTCTCTTATGATCTGACTTCAGCCTCCTTTTCTTCCTTTCTTCTTCTGGCCACTGGGTGTTCCAGAAATATCAAGCATACCTCAGAGGGACCATCCTTCTCAACACTGTCCTCTTGGTAAATACCAGCTTGTTCTTTAAAGATCTCTCTCTGGAGCAATTGCCTTTGTGAAGTTTTCCCTGTCACTTCCCAGACTGTTAATCCTGTCCTCCTCCGATGACTTTCATTGTGTCTGGAAAATTCTAGTGTTGAAATTGCTTCCTTACTTGTTTCTTTCTCCCACCAGACTGTAAGTGCTGAGAGGCAGGGGTTATGTGTGTGTCATCTGAGCATCCCCGGTCTGTAGTACACGGCAGGTCACGTGGCATTCAATTAGCATTCCAAGTTGATTGGTCTGATAAAAGCCTTCACCTCCAGATGTAATTCTCCTTCGGCTTCTGGGATGGTTGTGTCTGAAGAAGAGGATTCTTAAGCTATTCCAGTCCTCATAAATTGAAGTTCAGTGTTAATTTTCTTCAACAAAACCAGTGGGTATCCACATTTTTCCTATGTAATAGCTTTCCTCTTTAACCATAATGCCTTCATTTTGGTCCAGCCTTCTGCATTGGGTTGCTCGGTTGTATCTTAGTTTTATAACTTGGAGTTGTAGCATGGCTCCAATATGCATGGGAGAGTGGGAGACCGCTGGCCCAGGGTCATCTGTCCTCACAGCCTTCGGGGCTGGCAGCCCTCTCCTCCTTCCTTGGACACGGGACTCTTTTGCAGGCTGCCTCTGGTTTCATGTGCCAGACACTTTCCCTCCTGCTTTGTCTAAGATCCTCTCCCTGTTGTGCGAATTTCCTTTCCTTTTACTTCCTCCATAAACTACCCAGGTTTTCCCAAGGACAGGGTTGCCAGGTTTAGCAAATAAAGATAGAGGATGCCCAATTAAATTTGAATTTCAGATAAACCACAAATAATTTTTAATAGAAATATGTACCAGATTTTGCATGGGATATACTTACACTAAAAAATGATTTATCATTTATCTGAAATTCAAATTTAACTGAGCATCTGGTGTTTTATCTGGCCCCTCTCCCCAGGGCTTAGTCTTTGCAGAACTCACAGCCTTTATATTCTCTGAAGTGAGGAAGTAGAACAGTTATCAATCTGAGAGAGAAACAGAAAAATCCAGGAAGAAACGGTCACACCTTCAGATTTCATGATATTATCCAGTCAAAATAACTATGCTGAGTATATATAAATCACTCATTTCCAAGCAAAAGAAAAATCTTTAGTGGCATGTAGAAACTTTGGTAATCTTTCATAGGTAATTTGCATTTTCAGGGAGGTGGGTTTCAGTCAAGTTGGGAGGCAGTGGAGAGTAGCAGTTAAGATGGCAAGTTATGGACTCAATCCCTTGTGTTCTGATCCTGACTCCACCACTAACTAACTGTGTCACACTGGCAGGCCACTTCTTTTTCTGGGGCCTCAGTTTTCCCCGTCTGTAAATGGAGATAATAATTGTGTCTACCAAACAGGGATTTTTATGAGGATTAAATGAACTAATCTATGTCTCTGGCAAATGGTAAGTACTCAATAAAAGGTATCTGCCAGTACTACTTTCACTTCTCCTACTACTGAATTGTTGTCTCTAGTCAGTGTGCTGAGCACATCTCCAGGAAGCACTTCTGCATTTGAATACCAGTATGTTCGAGAGGAATGGTATGGTTGGACACGTGTGTGGTATGGGCTTTACCCCAGGTGACTTGGATAAAAATCTGCTGGTCTTCCACTGGTCTACCACTGACTTGAGGTGTTGTGTAAAACAAAGTTGCACTAAGTCCCATATTCCTGAGATCCAAGGAAATAGGACTCTTTTCATATGTATCCAGGGCCTTTATCAAAATGAAATGTTTTTAAATGGAAATGTTTTTGCTTTTTAAAAAATGTACTGAGAACAGGGTAGAGGAAATAGAGGAAATGACTCCAAGGCTCTATGGTTGTGTTTACCTTATTTTCCAAACAGATGTGCTAACAAAGGAGTATTTCAGGAATTTTAAATGAATGCTAAAATGTATTCATTTGAACAATTTTAAAATTAAATTAACAAATACCTTTTATTTACAATTTTAGAAATTTAAATACATAAGTAATCCTTGATAGTTATAGAAGAAAAGGCAGTAAAGATAAATACAATAGGAAAAAAATCCAAAGATTATGTGAAGGTAAGCACTGTAATATTTTGTGGTAGACATGTGATGTTTTAAATAACTAGTATATTTATGTAGTATATATATATAAATAACTAGTAACCATATATATGTATTATATATATAAAACCAGTGAGCTATCTGATATAATATTTTTTACTTGATTTTATCACTTAACTTAGTCTTGTAAATATGTTATTTTTTTATATATAAGGAGTATTAATGCAAAAGAATACAATAGTCCAAGGCAATCTGAAGAATTCTGAAATGCATGGCTATTATACAGGTCAATTTGATCATCATGTTCCAAATGATCTCCTTAATATTTTAACAAGTAACAAAACCTAAAATTTTCACAAGATGGTATGCCAAATGGTCTGATTTTGTAATACTAAAATAATAAAAGCAGCTGTCATTACTTAATGCTTCTGTTAAATGTTAATACCCTAATTCATTCATTTATTCATTTATTTCAGTTATTCGATCAGTCGTTTAAGTATCATTGAAGATATTATAGGCACTAGGTCTATAGTGGTTAACCAAATGGGCATAGTGTGTGTCTTTACGGAGCTCAAAATCTATTGGAGATGGTAGATAACAAATATACAAACAAGTTAATGTATAATTGAAAATTGTGATAAGAAAAATAATAGCATGTTTTGATTACAGATAATAATCTAGTCTAGAGATTAGTGATCAGGACAGGTTTAGACATAACACAGAGGTAAGAAGTGTTGTACTTGTTGCTCAATGTTCTAATTCTCATCAGATACCAGTGAGGAAGTTTTCATTATATCCATTCTATAGATGTAGAATATGGGACTCAGAGAAATTAGATAAAAACCAAGTTATGCTACCATAAAATCTAGTTGTGGTGTGGGAGAGCATGTTGAAGTATATGTTTTTGTCCTTACTGCTTACCCACTGGGGCCGTTCCTGTCAATTGTGGTGTGTGTAATGGCAGAGTAGCCTGGAGTGATCCCTGGAGGTTAAAGTCACCAGATGTCCATAATTAGTAGTGACAGGCTCCATTCAATCTTCCTTTCCCATCTTTTGTTTATTTATTTAGGACACAACTCTGAAATGCATTTTAATAAGATAGAGAACGATTGACTTTAGGACAAATTTTAGAATATTTGGAGCAATGGATACATAAGTGTGCTTTAGATTTCTCACAAACATGAATTTGGGCAGCTGAGCTTTTGGGAAGAATGGAAGAGCCGAGTTCAAGGTCATCAGTCCTGTCAAGCACCCTAGATACGATGATTACTATGTAGGGCAGATCCATGTGCTTGGACAATCAATGGGGCAGCAGACAGAATCAAGATCCATAGGAAAAAAACCCAACCCCTCCAATACAGGAATCTAACTAAGATCTGCACCTGAATGGGTGCTCACCTCCCATAGGCTTAGAGATAGGCCTCAGAGCACCTGTGATCAGGACTAGAATCTTCATCAGAAAACTGTGTCTACTTTAACACAGAAGTCTGGATGGGTCATGAAGTCCCAGTGTTTTGCTCTGTATTACAGCCTGATCACAGTGTCTTTGTCTTAGGTAATTTCCAAAACGGGTATTTTCAATTTTCTACCATGATTATAAACAAAAAGAAAACCCAATCAATAGTGTGTCTAATTGAATAGTATATCTTGTTGAATCCTAAGGAAACAGAATAATTAGATGTAAGAGATGTTAGCTGTAAACCATCTGAACGTTGGAGGGTATTTTTCCACTTGGAGAGGTCTTAGAAATGGTGGATATGGATGACACCAGAGAACTTTGCTTTCCTCCCTTCCTATAGGTAGGGAGATTGAGAAGGAGCCATTGATACTCACTTTGGACAGAAGGCCTACCTCTATGGAGAAGTCACCTTCATGATGGAGTGCCATCCTGCTACCATATTGAGGAAACTCACGACTATTTATTAGCCGTCAGGCCCACTGCATTGGCTTATATGCAACTGAGACACCTTCATGTTAATGTTGAAATGGCTAACTAAATCCTTAGGGCCTGGGGGTGTGTCTTATAAATGCTCTAAACCTTCTTGTTAGTCAATGGCAGGGGCCAATGGGACTAGAACTGGCCTTGAGAACTGAAAGACCCTTCATTGATACAGCCTATATGGCAATTTAAGATTAGCTGGGAGAATTCACTGTGTCACAGTGGTTATGGACCTAGAGAAGTTGGATGGTAAAAAAGTAGCAAATTCCATCCCAGGTCACCTTTAAGTAGATATTATAAATCTTTAAATACAAGTTACTTTTCTTCTTGGTGAGAGGCTGGTGCAGATTGCTAAGGTGACTCCCATTCATAAGGAACTGATGTAAAAGATGGTGGCAGCTATTGTTCCTGGTAATCAGTTCCTTCTCTACTATCCTGAAATTGCTTTCAAGGTAGTTCATAAACAGGTTTACAGTTATTTTATGGCTTGCTGTTTAATAGTGCCTCCCCAGTCTGAATTTTGCTTAAGATATTTTCCCTTACCAACAGGGCTTAATTTATTGGCTCTATGAGACACGGATACTCAGTTTGAGAAAGCGCTGAGGCACATGTTATCTTACTGCCTAAAGTATATCCACTGGATTTTTAAGCTCAAGTCTGTTACCTTGCATTTGGCAAGAGCCAATTCTGTATTTTCTTGAGAAAGAATAAAATGTGATTTAATTTAGTACCTAGCCTAGTGCCTGGTATATATAGTAGACACCCAATGGACATTTGTTTATTGACAGCTTATTTAAAAATTTATTGGTTGCTCGCTCTGACCAGACACCATGTCTTACACAGAAAGTCAGTACAGGCAGTGCTCCATACTTCTATGGATGAATGAATGACTCCACTCAAGGTCATTATTGTCTATGCAGGAAACATCTATACACAAATAATGGTAGAACTAAGTGGAATAAAATGAATGTTTGATGGCTAAAAACAAAATTTAGTTAAAACACTCAGGAGGGAAAGATTAATTCTATCTTAAAGTAATAATGATAAACTTCCTGGAGAAGATTATCTCTGTGTCCCTACCAAGTGTATTGCCAAGTTTAGAGTGCTGTGTTTGAGTGTAAATGGCATCTGTCACCTCACTGTGATACCAGAGCTAAAGCAAACATTTAATATTGGAGCTATCCGTGTTTATTTCTCCAACATCATGGAAGGTTGAAAAGTCTTTATGTTTTTAATCACAGAGCTCCTTAGTCTGGAGTCTGAACTTCAACTGAGCTGTCCCAGATGCTAGCAACAGTGGACGCTTTCTCCACAGAATAACGTGAGTTGTTAAAAGAGAGGAAAGTCAAGGAGAGAGAGAGGGAGTGGGAGAGTGGGGGGAGGGGGGGTTGGGGGTGGTGAGGAGGGAAGGAGGGAAGGAGAGGGAGAGAAAGCTCTCTTTATAGTGACTTCTCGAGTTCTCTAAATGGACAACAGTGATGGAGTGTTATGCAAGATTTGAAAAAAATGATAAAAATGAAGGTTTTATGAAAACAGTGTCAATTACTTCTGATCTAATGTTAAGTGAGATAAAGCCAGATTCTAAAAATATAGGTGAAAACAATAACTATGGTAAAACACATTCAAAAAACTTTGTGTAGTAACATACTAGAAAGAAATACATAAAATCATTAACAACAATTGTTTTGGGATGGAGAGACAATTATTTTAAAAAAACATTTCAATAGTAATCATATTTTAACTATGAAAACATAAACTTTATTTTTTTTAAATAGAGTTGACAATCAGGAGAGGCGACCTGCAGGGAAGTGGATCCCCTTCAAGATCGCCCTGAGGAGG